ATAGCCGCTTTCTGTAGAGATTTTTGTGATTGTGATTGGATGTCTCTGGTGAGATGGCTTAGACGATCGAACTCCGTGCTAAAATTATGGCTGTATTGTGATTGGATGTCTCTTATGAGATGGCTTAGCTGATCGGGCCATGATCGGACTCCGTTCTAAATTTACGGTGGCATATTGGTACTGAGATAGTGATTGTGATTGTGGTCGATGTCGTCGGATGGGATGACTTAGCCGATTGGACCGTGATCGAACTCCATGCTAAATTCATGGTGGTATATTGGTACTAAATATCTCCCAATAAAAAATAATATTATCTTCGTATTTTGATTATCATCTTCACAATATTATCTTCGTATTTTGAAAACTGTTATGTTTTAACTTGGCATTTGGATATCACTGATCGCTGCTTGCTGTTTCCATGGTTTTTCTTTCTTAGATTGTCATTCTATTTTGAAAGAGGACATTTGGATTTACATACTAGTACTATTCCATATGTACTAGTTTCCCTGTTGTCGGGGGCGTTGCCTCTTCAATGGATGCATGTGGTTCATCAGAGGGAAGCTTTGGATCACGTTACTAGTTACTCCTTATTCATTAGGTTTTGGTGAGCCCTACTCTATTCCGGGCACGATGTCACTTGATGTTGTACTTTGTGTTTTGAGGTATAGCCGGAACCTTATTTCCGACACTTCCATACTACTATTCTTTTGTACTTAGAGGCTCCGTAGATGTAGTGTGGGTGGTACATTGGTGTTGGGAAAGTCAAAGCTAGAAATGTTGTATTTGTAACACATGTTCCACTTCAAAATATAAATGGGTAATATATTTGTGAAATTATCAATAACGCTGCTAATGGTAATGAAATTGGTGTTGTTTATGAAATCCTTTCAATGTTAATTAATGGAGTACATCTCCACTCTATTCATAGGCAAGGTCGGGTAGAAAGTATCTAACATCCTTGCTTGACCAGGTTATCTTGGTTGAGCACCAGTCACGCTTTCTGAGGTCGGGGTGTGACATGCGAAGCCCGAAAACATAGTTGTATCATTGAGACCGAGGACTGCGCAGCCAGTCCCGTAGAAATAAGTTGTACAAGTTAGCCACAATAAATGACAATTTCTTTTTAGAACAATGAATGCTTATGTACTTTTGAAAATAGAAGGAATAAAGAAAAGTCCGTTTATTTCTATATTATTTCTTGTCTGAATGATGAATTGATTTTATCATTTGAAAGTTTAATAGGTACTACAAATGCTAGTACCGTAATGAACAAGAGACGTCCTCTTCAAGAACATTGTAAACATAAGAGGGCCCTCTCTTATGAAAACCCTCATGTTAAAGGGTTGATTTTGGAAGAACTTATGCCCAAAATCCAAATGCTTTTGGAGTAAAATACACCCGAAGCCTTGCATAATTAGATGTAAACAGTAAAACTTGCACAAACACTTAAACATAAAAAGAAGTAAACTTGCACAAATACTTAAACAAAAGTACGCAAAAATAAAACTTAGACTTGAACAAAAAAGTGTCTCTATTTACGATAAATGTGCCAAACAACACAAGTACAAAGGTTTGAAAAAGAAAGCAAAAACTAAGTTGCTGCATCTCCCGAACCCGGAAGATGAGAAGCATTTGCACCGCCCAGGAGAAGTAGGTAGATTCGCAACCGGTTTAATGTTTTGGCCTTCAGCCTCATCACATTCCAGCTCTTCTTTAGTTCCCGAGAACTCAAAACCGGAACCAGAAGAATCGTTAGCATCAGGCCAGGTCGGAAGAACCCTTTTTGCAGTTAACTCCAACTCACGGGCCTTAGCGATTTTGGCATCAAAGTTAATGACAATCGCTTTGGTCTCTTTCAAAGTTTTTCTCCTCTTATTGTACATAGCATATGTTTTTTCAATAACGAGGGAAACCACTCAGCACTGGAGTTCTCTTTAAGGTTGTCAACCTCAGTAGAAAGGTTATCTCGCGCACATCTAACGAATCGGAGGCTGACATCTACATCACAGACACTAGAGAAACTGAAAATTCTATTGTGCTTAATGGTCCTCTTATACTCCTCATCCTTTAGGGATCTTCTGAGTGAGCATCATAATTTTTCCCCAGGTTCCCATGAACTGGGGACTGGGGAAAAGGGACATCCTTCTCTCGGGCAATAGCGGCCGGCGGAGATGATGTAGCAGTTACTGGTGGAAAAGGTAGAGTTGGTGAAGAAGGAAATGAAGTTGATGACATTGAATGATGAGAAGTGGTTACGGCAAGTGCAGTGCTGGTTGTTGGTTGCTTATAAATCGATTATGGCAGGACCCAGTACTCAGCCTCACGGTACCGGGCGGTGATTGGGATTCGAAAACAAGAGTTGGCATTTTCCACCATATCATACTCCCCCTAGATTGCCGAGCTATCGTCCTCTGTTGGTATAAATAACTCAACAGATTGAGCATTCTGTTGAGCCGGAGGATCGTCGTCTTCTATGTAGAGAAGCTCCTTTCTCGCTGGATCCTCCATCATCGTTGATTACCATGGTGTCTATGGCCGGCTCGGGTGGGGGTCTCATCACCACAACTTTCAGATATAACTTGGGTGCGACACTCTTTGCCTTTTTTATTTTTCCCCTGGCCGAGAAGGAATGTCTTCTTTTTGGTTGCTTGTGATCCGGCCGAGGACTCCGAGAAGAAGCATTTGCACTAAAAGCAGGCCCAAAAACATATGTTCATGTAACCGCCTCCTAAAGCAGCCTTGCAACGTCCTCCTCGGGGACGACAACTGAGCGTTGGGGTAGACTTGAATTCAACAAAGGAAAAGGGTTAATCAGCCTCCTTACACAAAAGGGAAAAGAACGAGATGACTTTAACCTACGATGATTTTTGGCCTTCCACCCGTATTTAAGGGCCAATTCCTTCCACGTATGGGTCGCGGGCGTAGTAACATCCAAAATATTTTGGACCCACTGGTCCAAGGCTTCAACCAGCGGTGGAACCCACCGAGTTGCTGAAACAATTAAAAGAAAAATAATCGGTAACAATAAAGGGTAATTTTTAACTAGAAAAAGAAACAAACGATGAACTTACGAGTATGGTTCCACAACTCCAGAAAGGATGAAGTCATGGCCGGAATGATGTCTTTGGTGGCAACTACAATGAATCGTTCCATCCATCTATGGTCATTGTCATCATCTATGCTGGCTAGCAGAGCATGGTGGCCACGTTTGTTGAGCTAAGGTTAGCTCCTCTCCCGTCTCCTGGCACAAATACCGAAGACAAGCGACTGTCCTCCACACAGAAGGACTTACTTGTGCCAGGCACACCTGGTAGCGGAAGCAGAATTCCACAATAACGGAATCAAGCTCCCCGCTCAAAGAGAATGGCCCCAAAGTGAAGGGATACATATAAAAATACGTGAAACCCTTCTTGGGGAAGGTTATCCGCTTTGTTAGATCAAGAGTGATAATATCTCAATCTTGACAGTGGTAGTCTTCCTTCATAGTGAGAATGCTGGAAGGATGGATGGAAGAAGAAAACATGCCAACGGCCCACGTACGAGGGTTAGCAGAAGGAAACTTTTTTCAAAAGTAGTTAATTGTGATAAGACTTCTTGGGATGATGGTGCAAACCATATGAGGAGCAGCTTCATCGGCTTTACCTTCGTTCTTTGAGGAACTATGGGTTTTAGAAGAAAAAGCCATTTTTTATCAAAAAGGAAGGAAAGTTTTCTCTCAAGAAGAAGGTTAAAAACAAAGTATGAGTTGAGTAAATTAAGAGGGTTTGAGAAAATTCGGAGAATTATGAAGTGTAAATGAAGAAGTTTGATGCGTATAAATAAAGGAATAGACGACTAAAATTGTGGCCACAATTACCTCGATAACCGGCAAAAGTGATGCTGAATTGTGGGACGACGCATGTTCGGGGCATTAAATGCAGAGAGACGTACGTCTAATCAACCATCAAAAACTTTTCAGAAGGGGTCAGCAAATTTTCCGCCAACAACTTCCTGGTGACACGAAGTTATGCCACCGGAAAGCAGAGGGACTATATGTATGGGGTAAAATATGTTCATATTTAATGATCGCATGAGAAAGTGACACGTGGAACCGAATGGAGAAGACAATTGAACCCGAAGGCAATGATCTCGTCTGTCATCAGAGAGGATGTTATTCATAAGGCAAAATAAATGCCCGCCATCCGGTAGCATTCAATGAAGAATATTCTACAACATTAAGTGAATGATCCGTTAACGAGAATATGGTATTCACAGCCCACTGTTACACATTCTTCAATGACCCTCATAATTGTTATTTATGGGGGGCTTGATCCTAGGACCTTGTTCCCTAAGTGCAACTATAAATAGTGAGCTCTATTATCATTGTAAGGGACGAATTTTCTGACAAGTATACACTACACTCTATCAAAAGCTCAATAACATTTTACTTTCTTGCTGATTTATATTGTTCTTACTGCCTCCGGTAGCTTCTGCGCCTAGGATACAGATATCTGCCGTTTCATTTCAATTTCAAAGCTAAGTCTTACATTTTTATCTATTTCATCTATTATTTTAGGATTAAATTAATTCACTTATCTATAAACCACATATATATTCAATTATATTATTTTACGGGTAAACCATTACAAATCTTTTAGAGATAAGTTCGCTCGAAGTAATTTTGGGTCTACCTCATATTATTTCAACATATTCAGCCACTATTAAGAGATCGTAGACCAGTTCTATAAAGGTAAAGGACATAAGGGGTGGGCCTAATCATCTCAACATTCCTTGTGACAATTTATATTTGGACTTGATCGTTTCTTGATATTAAATCTGAAAATTAAATGCAAATCCACCCGCATGTCGCGGAAGACCCTATTGGTACTAGTAAGATTAAGAGCATAATTTGTCACTATTTGCTTCGTAATATATAAAAGTCTAGATTTTGTTTCAAATGAAATGTAACTGTTGAGTTACGAGAGAAAGAATAATAGTAATACATAGGCAAAATTACTAGCTTATTTAAGATCATAGGCAATAACAGAAACAAGATCGGAAAATTCTTGGACCGTCTGACTGAGTTGTTTGAGCTGGGCTGGTGGTTCCCCAAAACCTTGGTCACAAGCACGAGAATCATTCAAAGCAGCAGAAGCCAACAAACTTATTTTTCTATAGTCACCTATTCTAAACAAATCATTGCAACTTTCTAGTTTATCACCTGCATCTTTGTAATTGTTCAAGCAATTGGTGAGTTGGGCTTTCAGATTCGGATCTTTGATGGGTTGTTCAAGAAGGGACTTAACTAAATTGTAGGTGGAGGTGGTATTGTCTTGTGCTATAGAAAGAGAAATGGAGACAAGGCTGTGAATGTCTCCCTTGTAAACATAAGGGTCATTCTTAAGAACATGGAAACATAGTTGAGGATTTATGGTCTTGGGACAAACATCGTCAAGAATGTCTGTTGCCTTAACTTTTCTAATAATTTCAAAAAGTAATACTAAAACAACCAAGAAGGAGAGGGAGAGCCATGAAGGAGAAAAAGAGTGTGCCATTTTTAGACTTGTGTTTCTGTTTTCGTCTTCCTTTCTCTACACTGACCACCATGTTTTATAGTTGTAACCTATACCAAGTACATATATGAGATTAATGCAATTTATTGCTTTTATCTTGTTATAGTGAAAAAACAAAAAAGAAAGAATATTTAAAGCAAGGGAAGTAGTTTAGGTATAGATTTAAATACTTGCAATATAAGCACCAATATTAATTTTTTATCTTAATTTAGTCGCGATTTGTTTACTTCTTTAACATCTTACCAAAACGGGATTAGTATTTAACTAAAGTAGGAGCTTATTTGTTTCTTCCTACGAATCTGATTACAAATATCTATATATCTATACAAAGGAGGAACATATAGAAGTGTGCTGGCACATCTCCTCAGCTACCTATGTTATTTATCCCTTTTGTTAATTTTTTGGCATTTTACTTTATTTTTCATGGTTAAAAATTAATACATTCAGGAGTTTACAAATATAATTAAATATTTACCTACTGTTACGTTGCAACCTTTCAAATTCCTTAATTATGAATAAAAACAATACTGGCCAAACACATATGCCCTCTCCATTGCAACCTTTCAGATTCTTTATTTATACTCTCTCAGCTTCCCCTCTATATATGCATTCACAAATCACAATCTATTCATGCTCAAAACATACATTAGTCATGAGTAGAGGGCATTAGATCACGTTCACAAGTTCTGAGGGAGAGGCTTTCATGAAATAACTTCGAAGGTTGCTCTCCACGTTCCATAACCTCTCCACTACTCATATAATTCCTTTTCAATCTATAGGTTCTTTTTTACTTTTCACCATTAGGATTTTATGTTCATACAAATATCTCCTAAATACAAACTCGACCTAATTAGTTGTGTCCTCTTCTTTGTAGAGAGAAAGATGGTGTTTGTTGTTAATTCATCGAAGCTTAATGCTTGTAAGTTATATGTTGTCGTGATTCGTTTGAGGAGGAAGTGAAGTTGACGATCGTTTTGCTAAAAGATAATTGACATTATCCGTTGGTGTATCTGATTTTTGATTTCTAATAGGAAGGCAAAGAGCTAGAGAAGAGATTGGTTGTATTAGCTAAAATTTACAACTAACAGGCGTACTTTTCTCGAGCAGACACTTGGTAGTGATGATAGGGTCGGGATGAGTCAACAAATAGTTAATACCAGATACAAGCATGTAATCGATATTGTGTAAATTTGAGGACATATAGGTCGGGGAAGAGAATTTGAGAGCAATTTATCGGCTGTAGAGAGCAACATTAAAGGAGCAACCATTACAGAGTAGAATTTATTCCTAACATTATGCAACCATCAAAGAGGAGATTTTATTCATCTTTAAGAGGGCGCAATTTGGGGATCTTGTCTCCTCAGATCCAAATGTAAATAACAACATTCCTACTCAATATAAGGACAAAAAACTTTAGAACGACAAAGGCTATTATAATTTCTCTCATTTTTATAAGCTTTATAAGATTATTATCCTGCTGAGACCAAGGCAGATAGTGCCGCTGAGTTTGAGATCCTGAAACAAGGTAGCATGAGCGTGTGGGAGTATCATATGAGATTCGCGCGCCTGTCCAAGTATGCCATTTACATGTTGCCTACTATGGAGGCTAGAGTGCATCGGTTCCTACAGGGCCTCATACTCTTGGTTATTAATGTGGCCACTACAGGTGCCTTGAATTCTAATATGAACTATGGGAAGATGGTGGTGTTTTTTAAAGCCACAGATACCCGTAAATTGAGTAATAGAAGGGAGCGAGAGGGCAGCAATAAGGACCGATCTGCAGGCAACTTTGGTGGTTTTTCCAGTGGTGGTAGTAGTGGAAGGTCAATATTTAGGGGAAGGTCATCCAGGCCATCCCAGTCCTTTGCTGAGTCCTCGATCAGTGCATCGCCATCAGGGACCAATCAACAACAGTGAAGCCATTTCAGGCCCAGTCAGGGCAGGGGATCCTACCATCAGGGTTGGCCTAGTGGGAGATTCCAGCAGCAGCGGAGACCCCCATATCCTAGGTGTGGGAAGATGAATTTAGGGGGCTGCTACATGGACCTACGCACATGCTATGGGTGAGGTATTAGAGATCACATTTAAAGGGATTGTCCTTCGTCCCGCCAGAGTGTGGGCATAGGTACGACACGGCTAGCCAGTTTTGCAGCTACTACATCTGCAACACCTCCCTTAGCTCGAGGCACTCCATCACCCACAGGGCATGGTGCAGCTAGGGGTGGTGCACAGAGTTCGGGAGGACCCAGCCGGTTCTATGCTATGAGGGATAGCCAGAGTTTAGAGGCTTCTCCAGATGTTGTCATAGGTATGTTAACTGTCCAATCACATGATTTATATACTCTTATTGATCCCGATTTCACTTTGTCATATGTCACTCCCTATGTTGCTATGCAATTCGGGATTGAACCGGAATAGCTTCATGAGTCGTTCTCTGTATCTACTCCAGTTGGTGAGTCTATTATGGCCGTGCGAGTTTATAGGGATTGTGTTGTCACGGTGCATGTTCAGGACACCATGGCTGACTTTATTGAATTGGGAATGGTTGATTTTGATGTAGTAATGGGGATAGAATGGCTTTATTCATGACTTGCCAAGCTTGATTGCCGAACCAGAGCCGTTAGGTTTGAGTTTCCAAGTGAGCCAGTTATTGAGTGGAAGGGGATGATGTAGTATCAAAGGATAGGTTTATTTATTACCTTAAGGCAGCAAATATGATCAACAAGGGGTGTATTTACCATTTGGTCCAGGTTATGGACACCGATGTGGAGGCTCCTACACTTGAGTCTGTGCCAGTTGTGAACGAATTTCTAGAGGTCTTTCCTGATGAGCTCCCTGGGATCCCTCCAGGCAAGGAGATTGACTTAGATTGATGTGATACTAGTCACATAACCTATATTTGTTCCACCCTACAGAATGGCATTGGGAGAATTGAAGGAGCTAAAAGAGCATTTGAAGGATTTGTTAGAGAAGGGTTTTATCCGGCTTAGTGTGTCGTCTTGGGGTGCACCTATTCTCTTTGTAAAGAAGAAAGATAGGTCACCGAGAATGTGTATTGATTATCGGTAGCTCAACAAGGTCACAATCAATAATAAGTACCCACTTCTAAGTATATATGACTTGTTTGATCAATTGCAGGATGCTAAGTATTTCTCTAAGATTGACCTAAGATAGGGGTATCGCCAATTAAAAATCAGGGAGGAGGATATTCCAAAAATAACTTTCAGGACCCGGTATGGGCACTTTGACTTTTTGGTGATGTCTTTCAGGCTAACGAATGCCCCGACAACTTTCATGGATCTCATGAATCAAGTCTTCAAGCCTTTTCTCGACTCCTTTGTGATAGTGTTCCTTGACAATATTCTTGTGTATTCAAGAAGTTGAGAGGAACATGCTGATCATCTCAGGGCAGTTCTGCAGACTCTGTATCAGCATAAGTTGTATGCAAAGTTTTCGAAGTGTGAATTTTGGATTGAATCTGTCACATTCGTGGGTCATGTCATCTCCAGTAAAGGAATCAAAGTTGTACAAAACAATGTGGAAATAGAGGAATTTCACTCGATGGCCACTTTGGCCGGCGGCCAGCCCTCTTCAATGGCTGGTCAGCCTCCTCCCTCCCACGTCCAAGCTTTTGCGACCACAAATAATGATTCCCAAACACTAAATTACAGTAACATATTGAAATATGACATCCAAAACAATCCAATGCTAACGAGCAATACTCCAAAACATAATGTAGAGCCCATACGTTTGCGACGAGCTACTGTGTTAAATGGAGAACCTTTCATCAAGTTTACAGAAGCCGAGGTTGATCTAATGAACATAATCAACGGTTTACAGTATGCAATTGTTGGTAAATTTTTGTATGGTTGGCTAGTCCTCCAGGAACTTCGTAGAATTATACCAAGTCAATGTGGAATTAAAGTAGAATGTAGTGTTGGTTTCCTTTGAGATGACATGTTTTGATAAGATTGATTCTATGGGAAGATTTCATTAATTTTACGTGGAAAGGTACCTACTATGTTAAAGTGAAGGACGGATATGAATATCAGCTGAGCTCATTTATGATGCAAAATTCAAGGCCGGAGAAGAAACACCAAAGGCTATGGCTTGGATTTCATTCCCAATTTTGCTGCCTACATATTTTGTTAAGGAATGCTTATTTTCTTTAGCTTTAGCTGTTGAAAAACCACTGCATCTTGACTTGGCAACTATTAATAAAATAAGGCCTAGTTGTGCTCGAGTAAAGGTTCTGATTGATCTATTAGCAGATTTACCAAAGAACGTTCGAATGGATATAGAGGATGAAGCTACAGGAGAGGTAAGAACTGACTGGGTTAAAATTCAATATGATTTCATGCCTAAATATTACAAAAATATAAATTACAATATCATGATATGCTAGACTGTTGGAGGCTACATCCAGAATTAATGCCATACAAAGAAACTGAAAAACAAGTTAGCAAATGTTAATGTGAGGGACAAAAATAAAGAAAAAAGTCCTTTGATGATTCTCACAAGTGGAAAGGTTGTAGGAAATGTTGGAAAATAGTGGAAAGAAGTAAGGGATAATCGAGTGAGGAAAACTGTCCAGCAAGAAGAAACTCAGGCCAAAACTGGGAAAGAAATTGTACCAGTAGACAAGGAGGCAGTGCGAAAACATCAGATCTAGGTGGCCAACAAATGTGCTGTTCTTGAGGTGAAAGAGGCAAGAAGGAAAACAATAATTAGCTCCTATTGGTGGAAAACAGTTGAATTAATCATGGCCCCAGTATATCTCCTAGTGTGGCTAGGAACGATACTCCAAAATCATCAAACAAACTAAATCCTAAGGCACCTATTTTTAACCCTAATGACAGAGGAAGTGGGAAAGTTTCTCAATTACAAAAGGCGTCTACTTCTCAATGGGTAAACAGGACTTTTAGAGTTGGTAATCTAGCTCCTACTAATCAATTTTGCTAAGAAATTCCTTCACAAACTATTGATACATTTAAGTCAATTGAAGCAAATGTAGAAAAGGAGAAGCTGCAGTTATTTGGAGGTAAATTATGGAGTGATCAAATAGAGGAGGATTCTGATGAAGGTGAACTACCTGCTGCAATGGAAGAAGAGGATTTATCTACTGAAGAAGAGTTAGAGGAAGAAGAACAAAGTTTGAATGGGAAGGTCAATGAATCTACTGGTACAAAAGAAAATCTGTGTGATGAAGGCAACTTTGCAGGGGTAGCTTCAAATTCTAAACTGTCGCAGATTAACTCTATTCCAAAGCTTATCCCCAACCAAAGCTTAAATACTATTTCTGTAAACCATACAACATCTACTATTGGCCCTTCAGTTGTTCAGGTGGATGTAGTAGATCCAGGAAGAACAAAGGTAGATGAAACAGTAATGACAAATGAGTTACATACTATGAATAATGCTACAATTTTTCATGCAAATGATGCTGTAGGATTGACAAAAAAATATGGCCAGATCCATCAATTGGTAACCTCTGCTGAACCTCACACAACTGTGAAGGAAAAGGGAAGTGGAACTCTAATGCCTAAACCTACGAGACCTGAACTTGGCACTCAAATAAATACCAAGGAAGTTGTGGAGATTTTGGGCAGAACTGGAAATGACCTTGATGAAGAATCTACAGAACAAAATTTCATCAATATAGCCAAACAAGGAGATATATCTCCAAGATAAATGGAGAAGGGAAATCAATTGGTCGTGGAAAGAAAAAGAAACAAAAGGATTTCTCATATGTGCAAACAATTAGGGTTCAAACGAGAAGGACGCAATCTAAATTTCATAATTAGATATGAATGCAATTATATGGAATGTGAGGTCGGTTAATACCGAAAAAGCTTTTGAAAGGCTTGTCAATATGAAGAGGCAGCATCATTTTCAAAATTTATTGGAATCATGGAACCAATGCAACAGATGAGGAAACTTGAAAGATACAGAAGAAGGATTGGTTTACCACAAGCATTTACTAACATCACAAACAAGATATGGGCTTTTGTAGATGAAGACCATGGTTTATATAATTTTTGATTTGGAGAAACAATTAACAATGAAACTGACAAATGTGGACAGCCAAAAGAGCTTCATTGTCACGCTGGTGCATGCAAAATGTGACTCGATAGAAAGAATTGAATTATGGGATTCTTTACATGCTCTAGCTGGAAATATGACTTTGCCATGGATCGTAGAGGGAGATTTCAATGTAATATGGGATGAAGAAGAGAAATTTGGTGGCCGGCCAGTGTCATTGAATGAACTAAATGATTTTCGATATTGTATCAATAACTATAATTTATTTGATCTTGGTTTCAAAGGGAGCATCTATACCTGGTGGAATGGTAGGGTTGAGGACGATTGTATTTTTAAAATGCTGGATTAATGTTTGGCTAACATTAAATTCCAACAAAGAATGCTTGGAATTGAGATCACACATCTATCAAAAATAGGGTCAGATCAGTGCGCTATACTGTTGACATGTAATCTGCAACTATTGCAGTAAAAAAATCATTCAGATTTTTAAACTTTTGGACCAAACACCCTTCTTTTAAGGAAGTTATCAAACAAAATTGGAAGTAATCACAAGTTCAAAAAGTTGAAGAGTGCTCTATCATTATGGAGCAAAGCTACCTACGGTGATATCTTTCAGAAGATTGCATGCTTAGAAGAGGTGGTAATAGTTAACGAAGCACAGTTTGAGTTGTATCCCACGCAAGAGAATAGAGAAAGACTACATAAAATTTAAGCAGAGTTGATTAGATATCTGGCTTTGGAAGAGGAATTTTGGAAACAAAAATCCGGAATGGCTTGGTTCAAAGATGGGGATAGAAATACAAGATTTTTCCATGCATAAGTAAATGGAAGGAGGAAGAGATTGCAACTTAAAAGAATCCAAAACAGTGATGGGAATTGGATTGAAGGCAATGAGGAAATGGCTAACGAAGTAGTGAATTTTTCCAAGGAACAATTTCATGATGACCAACTACCTACTGATTTTCGCATAATTGATCATATTCCTTTAATGATAGATCAAGAGCAGAACCATGAGCTAATGAAACAACCAACAAATAGGAGGTGAAATAAGTTGTTTTTGAGTTTAATGGGGAGAGTGCAGGAGGTCCTAATGGTTTTATTGGATGTTTCTTTCATTCATGTTGGGATATAATCGGAGATGAAATTATGAAGATGGTGAAGGCTTTCTTTAATGGTCAGGAATTGCCTAGTTTTGTAAGTCATACGAATCTGGTACTTCTACCAAAAAATAAGGAAGTTAATTCTTTTTCGGATATGAGGCCAATTAGCCTAAGCAATTTCATAAACAAGATGTTTTCAAGAGTCATCCATGAAAGGTTAGTAGGGTATCTTCCTGATTTGATATCTTATGAGTAGGCAATCTTTGTAAAAGGAAAGAGCATAATGGAAAATGTGTTATTGACACGTGAAATAATCACAGACATTCGATTGAGAACTATGGCTGGTCCAAATGTGGTGATAAAATTAGATATAACAGAGGCATATGATAGTTTATCTTGGTTATTCTTGACTAAGGTATTGAAAAAAATGGGATTTGGAGAAAGATTCATTGGCCTCATCTTTGGGATTGTGTTAAACAATTGGTATTCTGTTTTCCTTAATGTCCACCTTATGGTTTTTTCAAATCAACAAGAGGAATAAAACAAGGTGATTCATTATCTCCGACCTTATTCATTCTTGCTGTTGAAGCATTATCTAAGGCTCTAAATGCTTTACACATGAATTTATATTTCTGTGGATTTGGTTTGCCCAAGTGGAGTCCCAAAATTAATCATTTGTTGTATGCTGATGATACCATCATCTTATCATCCTCCGATGCTAATACACTGCTATTGGTCATGGAAGTCTTAGCTGCATATGAGAAAGCTTCTGGCCAACTGATCAATAAAAATAAATCTGCCATATACATGCATCACTCTACTAGTTCAATTGTGGTAAGTAAGGTAGAAAGAATATAAGTATAACTAGACAGGAATTCCCATTTAAATACTTGGAATGCCCAATTTTCTACTCAAGAAGAAGAAAAGATTACTACCAAGGTCTCCTCAACAAGGTGCTAGATAAGCTTCAAGCATGGAAAGGTAAGTTACTATCGATATGAGGGAGGGCTGTCTTGATATGACATGTACTCCAAACTATGCCAATCCATCTTTTATCAGCAGTCAATCCTCCTAAGTGCGTGATTAAAAATTTGCACAAGATTTTTGCTCATTTCTTTTGGTGTAATTTTGTGGGTGGTTCGAGTAGACATTGGGAGTCATGACAAACCTTATGTATGCCATGTGAGGAAGGAGGAGTTGGTTTTAGATCCTTTAATGATGTCTCAAAGGCTTTGTTTTGTAAATTATGGTGGAACTTCAGAACTAAGCCTAGTTTATGGAGTGCATTCATGAGTCAAAAATATTGCAAAAAATTATTTTCAATGGTGGTACAAGGAAAAAAGGGATATCATGTATGGAGAAAGATGCTTGAATGTAGAGATATTATTGAACATCAAATTGGATGGCATCCAAGGACGGGTTCATCATTGTTCTAGTTCAAAAATTAGAATTGAATGGGAGCATTGTATTTTACAACTCCACCAGATTTCTATTGTAATGAATCGATACATAATGTCTACAATGTGATACATGATGAATAGTGGGATGAGGAGAAGCTTAGAGAAATTTTGCCAGAGGAACTTATCAATCATATTCTGGAATATGTTAAACTACCAGTTCTTCCGAATATGCTAGATAAGCCTTATTGGATGTTGGAAACTGGGGGGAATTTAGCTTGAAATCAGCATGGGAATATGTGAGAAGGAGGCAAAAACCACGCAATTCATACAAGAAGATTTGTGTGAAGGGATTGCCTTTTAAGATAGAATTTTTCATGTGAAAAGGATGGAGAAATAAGCTTCCACTAGATGATTTTCTGAGGAAACTAGGATACCAAATGGCTTCCAGATGCTGATGTTGTACAAATACAAAAGAAGAGACTATGCAACATTTGTTTTTCACTTCATATACAGCTAAAAGAGTATGGTTGCATTTTTTATCTCATGCAAGAATTGCGATGGAAGGATTGACTTTTCATCACGCCATAACCAAGTGTTGGACTGCAGATGTTTTTCCAAGACTACAACCTATTGTAGATATGTGATTTTTGATCCTCCCCAAAATTTTATATATTTTAGCATATAAATATTTAGTTTAGGTCTAATATAATTATTTCAAATAGTTTTGACTCTTTTACTTTATTTTATCACAAAAATAAAATTACAAAAATATTTTCTTTTATTTAACTAATTAACATTCTATCTAGTTAATTTTAATTTATCTACTTTATATAAAACTCAAAAATACAAAAATAGTTCCACTTTATTTTTAGGAATATTATTTTAATTTTTTTTGCAATAATTTTAATCTAATGCCATTTTTATCTTTTTAGTATGATATTTGAAAAATACCAAAAAAATAAGTTTATTTTAATGGTTAGTATTATTTTAATAGTTATTTTATTTAAGTAGGATTAATTAGTAAATAAGGTAGTATTTTAGTCTTGTTTACGGAGAAAGAATAAAATTTGGGCTCAAACAACCTATTTTTAGGCTTAATTTTCGGACCTAGCCCATAATAACCCAAGCCCAATACCCCAAAACCCTAGACTTAGACTTAAAAATAACCCTAGACTACACATAAGAGGAGCAACTCTTGGAAAGCCTCAATCAGATGAATTTTGGTTAAAATGTGGGTTTGAAGCCGAGCTTGGTTGAGTTTCGTCCGATTTTCAATTTTCCGGTGCTAATTCGGGTTCTGTCCGCGGTTCGTTACATCTCGAGTCAAAGTAGTGAAACAATCAATTGTCCGGCTATATTGAGGTTCAACTCTTTCATCCTCTATTCGTTTTATGCAAGCTTGGTATTAATTATTTGTTTGGTGATATGATCCCGTTGATTCTGTAATTGATCTCCGTGGTTTTGAATTTGCTCGCTCGGTTATCTGCTCTTGTTTACTTGAATTGGTTATAGCTGAACATGATTTTGTCACAGTATAGAAATTGGGTTGTTATTCTTCAGCTGGATCACGTCAAATTAGATTAAAGGGGATCGGGCGCTAAAGTTTATGAAATTGAGATTTTTAATAAATTATTATAGCTACGGGTACGGTTCCCATGACGTAGTTGTGATGCTTTAATTTCTAAAATCCGAGGGTACATTTATGTGACCCGGCCACAATTTAATTTTGTAAATGAAATAAACATGTGTGGATCGTGGGCACGATTCCCGTGATATGATTCACAACGTGTAATCAAATAATCAGTTGTATAACAATTAGATTATTAAAAGCGGTTAAAAAGAAATAAAAATGCACATAGGTTTCAAAGATGTTTTAAAATCAAATAAATAGGCCAATATTAACAGTTGAGCGACCGTGCTAAAACTACGGAACCTGGGAATGCCTAACACCTTTTCCCGGGTTAATAGAATTCCTTACCCGGATTTCTGTATTCGCAGACCGTAAATAAGAGTCAATCCTTCCTTGATTCGGGATTTAAACCGGTGACTTGAGACACCATAAATTATTCCAAGTGGAGATTCTGATTTCTAAATAAAATAATCCCGTTTTGATTGTCACTTTAATTGGCAAAACTCCCCTATACCGCTTCCGACAGTAGAAAAAGGAGGTGTGACACCTATAATTCAAGCAGTACCATCCATCGTTGTTTGGGAGCTCTGGAAAAGAAGAAACAATTTTAAATATGGAGATGTAGTGACTGTGAGCAGAGTGATCTACCAAGTTTCCTCGACCATCCAATCTCTTATCAAATATAGGAAGCCTAGCCTTATTCATATACTACACAAATGGCCTGAAGTGGTTCAGATGATGGAACAGTATATGCCTAAACTACATATCACAAAGGTGATATGGGATTTCTCAACAACAGGATAGATTAACGCGAATACAGACGGGGCTTCAAGGGGCAATCGAGGAAGGAGTTTGTTTACCTTGAAAATACAAGTAACAATTAAACTTGTTTATCATTTTAAAGATACGTGATTTAGTTCAATACTAATTAATAACCATTAAATCCAACGTATAAATGAATGAAGTAAGTTGAATCAAACCAGTGTTTAAGCAAGTCTCGACCTTGAGTTATGATGGCCTCGAGGTTGGTCAACAAGAACAGTAAAATAAAGATAGTAAAGTTGAGAGACAATTCTGATGAAATATGTGCAAGAAAGTAAGAGAATATATTCTTTACCAATGATTGATGATGTACAAATGATTGGGGTCCCCTATATATAATAGAGAAACCCTAAATAAGGTACATTTTTATTTGTAGAAAGGAATCTTATTGGGATAGTTGTCTAACTACCTAGTATGGATTCGTACTAACTCGTACAAATCTATTTCGGAATTTACGCCATGATCGTGGGGGCATGGGGGAATCTTGCTCTTTCAGTTACAAACCCATAACAACATCATCTCAGGGTTGGTCATACTCGGTTCCGATGTTCCTCGAGAAATTAGATCTTCGAGCCTCGTATTTTGCCTTCGAGCCCGGGCTCGATCTATATTGAACTTGTTCTCGATGCGACCTCTTGAGCCTACAAAATTGGAGGCATATGATTTTGAACGTGTATAGATAGTCCCCGTATTTCTTAAAATAAAATGATAAGAAACGGCTTGAGCCTCAATTTTTTGGAGTCATTGATGATGACCTCATTCCTGTGATGTAGGCTTTCGAGGTGACCGAAACATCCCATCGGTTCGCTTCCCCAAAATATTAAATGCTTGGCCAGTGGTGGTCAGCCATTAGCACCATCGAATTGTCACCGCTTGCCTATAAATACAAAGTTCAAACTTGGAAATATTTTACTTCAATCTTCATTCCATCTCTAAACTCCGTTTATATCTCCCTCTCTTCATCTCTTCTCTCTTATTACTCATAACTCTCGTTCTTTTAATGCCAGAAAACATAAAACTCCGCCTATCTCTACATCTTTGAATCAATGGCGAAAACTTCTAAAATTGTTCCTCAAAAAGAGAAAGCTTCCCCCTCCTCTTCCCGCCCGGCCGGTGATAAAGCAACGGCCCTTCACGAGATCATTCCCGGCTCTTGCGTTATAAAGAAAGACTTTAGAGTCGAAAATCCCCCCGCGATTCGTGGTCGCTGCAAGCATGTATCGAGATATGTTTGCTTGATAATGGAGAAGCACATCAAAGCCATGAAGAAAGAGTGTGGTTGGGGGGACGAGGTCATGGTACAGATCCCCGACCCCGAGGAGAGCATTACTACTCATGTATAGGAGTTTCTAAGTGTTTACAATTACCCCTTCACACTGGGTCCCCTCGATCCAGTTGTGATCTACTTCTGCAAAAGATACCAAGTCACCCTTGGCCAGATTCACCACTCTTTCTGGCGTATAGTGAATATGCTTCATTTTATCTCCAGCAAGGCCGAGGGGCTATAGTTCACCCGCAATCACCTCATCAGGTTGTACTCGGCCTCAGATTTTCCAAGGGCGGATCAAGATTCAACGCCGATTGAGCAAGGCCTTCTCCGCTAGTGATGACGATGACAAGAACCGGGGCTGGATGAGCCGGTTCGTGTGAGTGAGGACCTCAGACATCATCCCCGAGAGTAAAGTACCGTTCCCGGAGAAATGGAACCCCCATCATAAGTGAACTCCTCTTCTCAGTGTCTTCTTATATTTTGTTTTTGCATTGTGTGACTCCTTTCTTTTTGCAGTGGTTGCTTGGATGCCTCATGCGATCCACAACCTTGAATATTAGGTTCGGAAATTAGCCGCGACCTCCTCGTATGATGAGCGTAAAATGGCGTGACTTGTTGAAAGGTAAATGGGAGGCCAAACACCACGGTAAGTCCTTCTCCCAAATATTTGATGCTTTTCCCCTTTGATTTATACGTCGCCTTGCTCATGCTTGTTCTTTATTCATGTAGGTATTGGAGATGCCTCCAAAATGAGGCCATCCCCGCCCGGTAAGAGACCGAATCCCTGGTTCCAAAATCGGGGAAAGATAACAAGAGGAAATATTCTTTAAAACTCAAAGACCCCTACAATAAGAGAGCCCAGGTCGAAGGAAGAGGAGGAAACTCATTCAAGTAGATATAGACTCAATCCACTAATTGAATTATGAAAAAGAGGACGAGGGCGACGAGTCGGCGTTAGTGACTCGAACAAGAAAACCAATTGAGGTCGTCAAGTCCTCCAAACTGGAAACCATGCCTCGTGAAGAAGAGGCTCTAAAGAAAAATAGGGGCAAAGCCCCCGAGTCTCCTAAGATCAAGATTATTCCCCCTCCTTTAACAAGTACACCAAAGGAGGCAAGTACCGAGACCCCCGAGGCTGAACAGAGTGCCCCGAGCGATTTGCTCGGGGTCATGACAATAGGTCACTCCCCTCCTCTACCATCTTATTCCGAGGATGCAATAAAGGAAGCTCAAGCCCTACAAACGCCTGACCCTAGTGGAGTCCCCGGTGAAGAGGATCCTTTCCGGGATTACTTTATTGGGTCGATGATATTGCCGACCTCAACGACGCCTCTTTCCTCTTCGAAGAGGCTCACTGTCTTTTTGCTCGGGTAAGTATCAACTCTTATTGTTACAATTCCTCCTTCTTCCTTTACTTTAACTGGTACCTATTTTTCTGCGTAGGCCATAATTCGGTTTAGGGCCGAGCTGAACCAATGTGAGGCCAAGCTCAAGAAGTCTTTGGCAGAAGGGAAGGCCCTGAGGCTCCTTTGCAGTAAAAAGGAAGAGGAGATCAAG